AGACCTCACATAAGCCTCGAAATGTGAAGGACAGACGCTGAAGAATTTCTAATTGCTTCAATTTTTTTGGCACGTCCGTTGGAGGCATGACGGGGCCCCTTTTCTCTCCCAGCATTTGATTCGGAACAGCAACGATACACTGCATGGCGGCACGGCGTTATCCTACCTTCCTTATTTCTTTTTGTCTTCTTTTTCGGCATCTTGGCGCGCTTCTCCATGCGCAACATTTCGATCTTTGGAAGCCATGTGTGTGTGTTTGTGTGGGGAAGGGGTTCTTTTCTGGGACTTGTTCCTCTTGTTCATTTGGCGTGGACACGGGATTTTCTTTCTTTCGGCAGGCCATTTCTGGCCTCGTATTTGGGGCGGGAGGATGGAGTGGAATGTGTGGGGTCTGGGCTCTGTGTGCGTATACATGTGTGTGCGCGCATAAGTGATTTGTCTTGAGGCCGTCTACACGACTCGGCTCGGCGCGTATGGTGCGGAACGATACGGGCACGGTATAGGGCGATTTTGTATATATATCTATCTATGTATACTCTGGGGCCATGGACGACGAGGGGGGAGGGCATGGAACATCGATCTGGATCCTCGCTCAAGTCGTTGTTTTTTCCATCTGGGCCTGCCAGCTTCCTCGCTGCTGTATAGTTTGATTGGACGGAGGGATTTTTTTCTGGCTTTGTACATAGGCGAAGATGGGGGGACTGGGATATGGGGTATGGGGGAAGGACGGCCAAATGGCAGTATGGAATATGTATATGAAATGGCAGATATTCTTGTTTCTTTTTGGATTGTTTTTTTATAGGGGTTTGGGTGGGGTGGAGGTGGACATGGATGTGGAGATTGGGATGGAGATTGGAATGGAGATTGGAATGGAGCGTGTTGGTGATGGAAAGGGTGGTATATGTATATTCAGGAAGAAGGAAGATTAAAGGACTGGTGACTGGTGTGTTGAGGTAGAAATGAGTGAGATATATTTTGCATCTTCAAGATAATCCCTGGTGTCATAGTTTCACAACATCACTCGACGCGATTGTATAGTCACAGGGGACGGTTGAAAGATGGTGGCTAGTGGCTGGTGGCATGGTACTGATGGTGCGGGGAGTTGTACAGAGAAGGATGGTGGGTATTTATGATATATACAGTGGATAATAGAAATGTATTGTTTGATTATACAAGTTGTTGTATTAATATAAGCTAGTTTAACTTCCACTAACATTACCGGTATGAGTAGTCTGATTAACCACTCACAAACAATCAATCCCTTTATACCCATTTTTCTCTCTCACCGTTCAATCAAGCAGATCCCTTAGGGAGTCGTAACCAACCCTCCAACCCCATCACCCTCTCTCCTCCCCATCAGCCCACCCCAAACCAAGGAGATTTCTTTCTCACGCTCACCTCGGCTGCGGATGCACACCCCCCTATCCTCCCCCATCACGCCAACATCTCCCCTTCGCTCCCAGACCAAGAGGCCCAACTCGGAGTAAGCATCCTATTTGCGATCGCGCCTATGGGGAGGCGGAGCGGGACCGTGTGCGTCTGCCCTGCTGACGTGGCTAGAAAAGGCAAAGTTAGGAATTTTACCTACTTGGGCTGGGAGATGGTTAGTGCTGATGGTTGAGCCGAGGAAGATTTCCGGTTCGAGAGGGTTTGGGCGGGTTTGGTTGGGTGGTTGGGGAGGGGGGTTGGGAAGTTGTGGTAGGTATTGTATGTTGGCATCTAGGGTGGATGTTGCGGATTTGGGAGTATTTGGTCCCCTTGGGGTACCAGTACGGTACGGTACCTGCCTACCTCGACGCTTGTCAAGACGCGCCGGCGGAAGTGAGTCGGAGGACGGATTGCAACGGCCCGAAACACAACTCATGACATGGAATTCTCGGGCGTTGGATTTTGCATTGGCGGTGAAAAAGACGGTCGGTATCTACGTAACCTAGATCCACTTTGCAGTCTACAAGTATCGTGGTAATTCCGGCACGTTCTCTTCACCACGCCAGCTACGCATTGTACAATAGGTGTGGGACCCTCCTCTAGAAACAGGCCGAAATTCCTGGTTGACATGATAATTATAGCATCCAGTAGCCTCATTGGCCATTGCTATAATCTTCTGGTTAGGGAGGACGGTGAGTTGGAGAGTCTCCATGTGTACTAGAAGAGGGTGCATTGGTGTAACTAAAGGGTGGGTAAGATCACTTGTTGCCTTGTTATATTGAATGTATCCAAGGCGCCCATGCCGGTAGCGGATGTGGCAGAATCCAGTATACCCAGATCCTGTATCGACTTGCAAACGGGATCAAGGTGCTACAGTATGGTAGTTGTAGATATCAAAGCCTCTTGAGATCCTCAACCCCAAATCAATCAATCAATCATTACAACCAATACTCGCATTCTCCATCCATCTTCACAGTCCCTTACAACCACACATCCTCTCCTTTCCAACCCACCCTAATCCTCAACCCAGCCCCTCTTACAAGTAAGTGATCCCCTGGCATTCCGCCGCCACGTCGTCTCCCCGCCGGCAATCCCCCTGCATGCTATTGTAGGACGGGATGATTGGTGGGTTTTTCCATTCGTAATCCGGCTAACGCAAGCTTTGTATAGGGAAGCGAACTGCGATATTACTAGTTATCTCGGCTAGTTTGAGGATCACGTTACTTGTCTTGTGCTATGAAAATAGCCAGGATGTAGCAGTGGCAAATCACATGATACTCAAACTACCCGAGCGCATGAGTAGCAGTGATGCGGATAATGCGGGATGGTACAACTTGAAGAGGGTGATTGTCGAGGGAAAGAACTCTAACGGAGGACCAAAGACTAAGAACTTTGGCACCAGGCTCAGTAGCTTCACCTGCAAGATTAAGAAGCCTGGCAAGAAAGAGGGTGCTGCGGATGCGGGAGCGGCGCGTGGTTAGTCGTTGTGATGGGTGAGATGGTGTTTGTGGATTGATCCATCGCATTCTTTGCGCAGTTAATATGTAATGTTAATGTCTGCTCTAAACGATGTCTTGGTTGCGTTATATCGTGAGACCGTGACGGGGCAGCTTGAACATTGTAAAGATGATGATTGTCTTAGCTTGAAGTTTACGAGAGGAGGAGAAATAACTTAAGGAGAATGCGATGTCATGCAAGCACAAACCCTACCACGACGATAAGTCCTGTACAGGACAACCATCGGCACATCACATCACCATCTCACCAGCGGTAGAACCGATCCAGGCCGATTGGAATCGCCCGTCTCCGTCTGACAACACCGAGGCTGCTTACCCCTATGCCATGATCGAAAGCCCACCAGTCAGATTCTTGGCTCCACCACCCTTCAAAACCGGCAAGTGGTAGCGCCAGGTACGGCAAGGCTGTGTGAACCAATCGAAGAAAAATAAGCAGTTGCTGAAAGGCGGAGCAATGCTTGATATCGAAATGAGGAGCGTCTAGCAGGCCCAGAGATAGCAACAGATCTCTACCGTCAAAGAAATTTAAAGAAATTTAAAGAAATTTCTAGACGGACACTGGGCAGCATTTCGCGGTGAGATATCGCTACGTTATTGGGGGATGATCATGTCATCGGGGAGTGATCATGGCTGCGACGAGATAGGATTTGAGATTTTGCCGCGTCGGAGCGAAATGAGGTGGTGAGCTGCTTGCTTACTTCTCGGATTGGTCTGGTGTCTGGGCATACCTAACTCCCGATGGTGTAAATTAGGTTGGCAAATAGGTTCGGGGTTACCCAGCGATGGGTTTGGGTTGTTAGGGGTAGCGTTATAATTTTGTACAATAACCTCGGTACTAAACCATCGCTAGCGCCAAATTCTTGGGTTGAGTGCAGGTTGGGTATGGGTTGTCACGTGACATGTCCCAACCCGTACCCATCTCTAGCGTCGGCGAAAAATTGGGATATTTGCAATCTCTACTCTCAATTACTTCGATGTTCAGCTACGCCACCACCACCAGCAAATATCCCATTTATTCGCCGACGCTAGAGCCATACCCATTTACCACCCTACTCTACGGAGGTGGCTTTTAAAAGTTCTTGCTAACAGGGGTGTCTATATTACCGCCGTGATACCACTAAAGCTTAGACTATTCTATCGCGCCACCCCTCCTTATACTTATTATTACCTTCTAGTCTAATAATCTCCTAAATATAATACTATATACGCTCTATCTAAGCCTAGATTTAATATTAAGGTAGCTTATTTTAAGCCTTTAACTATACTTTTAAGTTTATAGTGCGTAATAAAATACTTATAATAGTACTAATTTAAGTAGTAGATTTACTACTAAAAGGTAACTTTAGAGTTATAATAGCGTATAGGTATAGGGATTAGTATTAGCCTATTAGGAGCTATAGTAGAGTAAAAATACTAAAAGATTAAGTATATAGACTATTACTACTACTATCTATATCTTTAAAAATAAGTGTGTAGGCTAAGAAAGTCGGGCCGATAGATTAACCGCTAACAATACGCTAGCAAGAACTTTTGAAAGTCACCTCCGTAGTGTAAATCCTGTCTTACCGGGAGAATCTCCACGTGTGCTTACCTCCTTAGTACGATCTTCGGGCATATCCTAAAATAGTCGCACTAGGGTGTAAAATACAAGTACGTCACTGTCAAGCTATTGTATCAAGCCATGCAGATCTCAATGTGAACTGCATATGCTTCTAAGCTGCGTATCACACGAGCAGCCATTTCATGTTGGCGTTGATTGTGATATAAAGCGACAATTGACAATAACAGCTATTTTGCTAGTTGTTTATGTAGATTTGCCTCTCCTTGCAATCGTCTGCGAGAATGATGAGATCATGCTTAGTAAGATCTAGCATTCTAGTACGTCACCTGCGGCGTTACGTGCACCTACACTTTGACATGTAACATGTTGTTAGGCTTGGCATATCACGTGTGTTGATATGTGCGTATTCACATGGATCGTTACCTGTGTCTAAACTAAGATTGACGAAGACGTCACCAATCAGGTATAACAGCGTCATTGCTTACTGTGTTACATACCACGATTTGGCTGCACAAAGGGCTTCGAGGGCATGAAATATAAGCCTTGAACCTTGTTTCGGAATGCAAGCAGAGCTGGCCACTAAGTGCTCCATTCTGCAGAGACATGTGCAGACCATACACTATGTTTACTTGGGAGATTGGCCACGGCTCATGACTAGGTCTCGAGGGATTGAAGATTATTACTCAATCAGGAATCTAGAAACCTCACTGCGTACAAGCACAGACAAGCACAATCTATTCAAGAACAAGTAAACCACCATCGACGATACGCATTACACTATTCCAGCTTGCCATCTATTATTGTCCAAACAAGACAAAGCGGTGAGCTGTCAAGATCTCCATAGTATGTATGGTAAGCACCATTGACCACAACCGCTGCTGCGCCGATCGATCTTATATAACGCGCACATACAGCGGTGCAAAGTTAACATACCATATTCGCCGTTCGCAATGCAGCCAGGCCGGTGCCTCTCTACGCGAGGCTCTCTCCCAGCGTGTTGTAGTGATGAAAAAGACGATCAATCCCCGGGCGGTTTAATGGACGGTGAGCTTATCGTAAGCACCGAGCTGAGGACTGAAACATGGGATCGCACTGCATTACTACAATCGATACTGAAGCCTTCGTATCCAGTCTCAAGACCCCGCTCACATATTGTCTAGCGATCGTTTCAGGCAGCTGGACCCACACTGTACGCACTCCCTCGAAAAACTATAAAGTCTCACGGAAATCCACTCAACAGCATACACAAACACACTTACACTCACATACAAACACACTTACACTCACATACAAACACACTTACACTCACATACAAACACACTTACACTCACATACAAACACACTTACACTCACATACAAACACACTTACACTCACATACAAACACACTTACACTCACATACAAACACACTTACACTCACATACAAACACACTTACACTCACATACAAACACACTCTCTCTTTACTATCTAGTTTCAACTATCCAACAAACCTCCCACCCTCCACAACCCCAACCATGAAATTTCTCCTCTTCCTCCTCACCCTCCTCGTCCCCGCCCTCGTCTCAGCCACGCTGACAACCGGTGACGGACCCGGGGAAACCGGCCACAACAAAATGGTACGCCGAATGCCGGATCCAGCCGTTCCCGTGCAGTCTCAAGCCCCGCCGGATAACTCTCCTCCCGGGCTAGTTACCAGATAAGACTCCACGTTCAGGGTACCGCCACTATTTGCTTGTGCGGCGAGATTTTTGTTAGAGGGGGAAGTGGCGGTTGGGTCTAAGTCTGGTAGATGGATTTATTGTTGGTTTTACCTGGAGGTGAGTTTGATCTTGATCTTGTGATATGTAGATAGTAGGGATACTAACGTGTAGATAGTGAGGCAAATCATCAGCTATGGAGGTTGAAGTGTCCTCAGTGAAGGGATTGTAGTCAGACCTTGTATCAATCAATATCCTCATTGCAACCGTCAAAAGTGTGTACTTGTTGCTCTGCGTGCAATACAATTCATCCCAGCTCAAGATTATCAGACAAAATCTTCTAGGTCTTTTCACCAGGATTAGGTAACATGAAGTGTTTTGAATTTAAAGCCAGGTGCCTAGTAATCTATTGCAGAGTAAAACTAACAGCAGAGTAGAAAAATCACAGTAACTTCCTATCCGCGTGTTAGATACAAAGAAATACATGTCTATGATCTATCACATGGGAGCTATCGTAGATCTAATTTACATGGTAGAGATACTGACTATTTAGTACAAACACGTGTAAACTTAAAAGTTAGAGCTAGATAGGAACACCCCCTATCTAGCCAAAGTATCTAATCTGAAACATAACAATTGAACGAGAAATAAATACGATGTATATCATGCCTAAAACCGCACTCTGTATCCTAGCCACAAGAACAAAAAGTATAAGAACTTTCCTTAACCCAAGGAAAACAGACAAAGAAACACAACACCACCCCCGCCTTCAACCACACCTCTAAACAGTCTATACCCTAAACACCATGACAATATGCCCTCTAAACACACAAACCCCCACCCCTAGGCCCACATAAATCCTTCTGATTCCACAGAACATACAATATCAACCCCTACCCCCCCTCGACTCAACCTCTCCAATCATCCCCAGACAAACCCGGGCTGCCTCGCGTACAACTTCTGGACTGCAATCCCCGTACATGACCGCGAAGTGGCTTACGAGACGCTCGATTTCTCTGCTTTTGTCTTGGTCCTGTGTGGTTTGTGTTGTGTTGTCTGGTTGGGTTTGGCTTTGGCCTTGTTCCGTTGGGGCTGGGGTGTGGGGTTGGGTGGAGGTGGGCGTGGGCGTGGGCGTGGATGTGGGCGTGGATGTGGGCGTGGGCGTGGATGTGGAGGTGGTGGGGGTGTGGATGGGTGTTTGGTGAGAGGTGTTGGATGACATTTTGAACGTGTCTGTGTGCGTATAAATACACCGTCTACTAACAATCAGCCATACTCTACCCAGAAAGCCCCTAGCCCTCCTTACCCTATACTCGCACGACAAAGAACGAACCGTGAAGGATGCCGAGTAGATGATATGTATGAAGCAGTAAGACGACAGTATACCCAGGAGACTTCCAAGCCTCCCACCAGCGACGCCATGTTATATACACTTCCCCCGTGCCACTAGAGACTAGAGGAACTATAATAAAATATTCAGAACCTGTTGAACACCAAGATGAATATTTTCCCACCGCCCAACGAACTAGTGTACCTTACAACAAACGCAGTGTTGTATGTGCAGGCCTCTTCAAAACTGGTCCGCTTTGGCAAGGAGCCCAAAGTCGTCCATGGGTGGCGACGAGTAGAAATCTGGCCGAGTGCTGGTGGTATAGGAGGGCCAGGTTTCCTCTCAACGTCCATACTCCTAACTGGCTTGAGAACTTGGGTACCATCACGAAAGCACCCTGGTACCCATCCCAACACGACCGCATGAACAAAGCACACTTGATAGATATCGCTAATGAATTCAGTTCAGAGTCCATGTCGTGAATCAAATTGGTATCGTATGCTGATGCCCAAAAACTCCCTCAAAGCGCCAAATGCTCAGACCGAGTAATAAGAACAGAAACGCGGTTTGAAAATGCCACAGAATTACGCCGTTGATGGAAGGGAGAAAAAAGCCAGGTGCGCCGTGTGCGTCAAAGTCAGTTCGTTTGTATACATGGCCTCATGCCAGCGGGGTGCAGAGGAAAGAAAAAAAAATCGCTATGCTCTTGCTTCCAGAAAAAAAAAACCCCCCTGCGCATTGGCAGATCAATGCTCGACGCGAAGAAACCACACCTCATCAATCATTCAACAGCCCGCCTACTTGACCGCATCACCGCTCGTCCTCCCCGGCGTCATAGGTCGAATCTTCGTTTTTGTAGCCTTTTTGTGCGCTGGTGGCGTAGGAACCCTCATGCCGTCTTCTGGACCGAGTTCGCCCGTCAACCACTGTCCCATGTGTGTCTGCCACCTCTTCAAATCCACCATCTTCGTCTCCTCCCTCAGCCGCCGGTGCCGCACTAGTCGCTCAGCAACCTGCTTCAACACGACCTGTGGTGGCGCGTACTCCTTCAACGCCTCGTTGAGCTCCGTCCGCGCAAGGTAAGCTGCTGTAGCGTCTTCCATCAGACTCAGCGTCTTCCCGCCTGGCACTGTTTTACGTTCTTGCGTGGTGGGATTCGTCCAGGGCCCCCTTTCCCAGTTGTCCAAGGGCAGGTTTTGAAGCCCTTTGTCGACGTTGAGACGTTTGTACCAACGGTGTTCGCCCCGGGCAATGGTGCGCATCATCTTGTGGCGGTCTTCGCCTTCGGTGTACTTGATCAGCACGTTTTTGAACACGGCGAACTTTTCACTCCATTTTTGCAGGACTTTGACCTGGCCTAGCGGACCCGGCCAGACTGCCGCGAAGCCATCGTTGCTTGTGTCTGGTCTGCCAGTGCCAATGGAGAGGAGGAGCGCGGGGTCATGCTCATCGCCTTTGAGGGATGCATGTTCAGAGTAGGCAGCATACGAGGGGTTGTTCTCGCGGATTCCCCCATCCTTGAACCCGAGTTTCCCACGGTTGTGGCCCACGTCGGCAACGAGCATGGAGAAGTAGAAGGGCGCGGCGGAGGTGGCACGGGTCACCTGCCAAATCTTGAGAGCATCGGCGCCCGTGTTGTAGGGTGTGACCCATGCTGGGGCAATCTGAGGGTTGTAGACATGGTTGTAAGAGCGGAGGAGGTATGCCTCATCGATTTGCCCGGAATGGGTTGCGGTCAGGCAGATGGATTGACAGATGCGTGGTGTTGGTCTGGCTGGTACAGATGCACGCGACCAAGCTGACGACTCGAGGGAGGGAGGAAGAGATTCGGCAACGGGGCTTTCTGGGTCGTTGGACCAGGGGTGCATGTCTAGGCCGTCACAGTCTTCGTGGAGTTTGCAGTATTGGCTCACAATATCTTGAACTGCTCGCTCGAGAGGCTTGTGGTCGTATTTTGTTGCCAGGGGAAGAACGTTTCTGCGATGGCCAAAGAGCTCCTGCCCAACTTTGCGGTACAGTTCGAGACATTGTGGGACAGTCATTCGGAGTCGGGCCAGCATGACGGATATGAGGCCGCCTGTGCTTGTTCCATACATGTAGTCGAAGTAGTGACATGGCAGCAGTTCGTCCTCGATGAACTCTGTCCGTTGGCTCCCAGGCACAGGACCTTCTTCCCTTTGTAGCCGACGTTCGCACTCGGCGACTTCATGCATGAGCCGTTGGATGATGAGCAGGCTGGAGTAGCCGCGAATGCCACCGCCATCTGTTGCGAGTACGTTAGTCTATAATGATAAAGAATCTAGTGTAGTCCACGCCCAAGGCCAGTGTTGGGCGGCCAGGGAAGGCACATCGGTCGTCGTCCAGGGCTGCATTGCGGGCCAGGAGTGCTGTGCTTCCAGGCCCATCTCAGCTCTGTATAGGACTGGAAAGGGCGGTTGGAAGGAACGATTGTGGCTACGACGCTAGCTCCAGGGCGATAACCGCGTCCAGTGATGCGTCCAAGGACTGTGCAGGTAGTCGGTGCCTCGGTGGTCGCTCGGCTTATGTGAGGCCGTCGTTAGGATCGATAGGTTGGCACCATAGAGAAGTTGCATCTAGCATGGTTCCTGACGCGTTCCGGGCAGGAACGACACTTGCGTGCCTGCAGTCCATGGAATGCAGTGTTTACATACCTAGCGTCAAAATCAGATCCTCCCAGCAGTTTTCCTTGTTCACACTCATGGTCCACGTCTCTCCCGTCCTGTCCTGGGCGGTCGCGGAGGTACCCGTGGTGCGGATACTCAGCGGCCTCGATAGCGGTTCAGCAGGTGGCTGCAACATGTTGACTGCTGGCGCGCACGCGCGGACAGAGGGCGATATGTACGGGGAAGGGGTTGCTGCTGGAACTTGGTTTGATCAGGCTGTCGCGGATTGTCGCAGGGCAGGGAGAAGGGCTAGCTGGGTATGCTGGGTATGGCAGCAGTAATTAAGGCCGTGAAGAGCCTCCTCATGACTGCCCACGGCCACCAGCAGCAACAGCAGCAGGCACAGCAAGCGTGTATGTGCGCACTGGACTGTGCCTGTCGGGGGCGGGGGGGGGGGGGGGAAGGCGGCGAGGGCGGAGACGGGAGTGGCTGACCCTTGGGCCGCTTGGCGCCTTCTCCCCGGTGAGATCCAGGCTCCCTATTGGTCCAGGCTCGAACTGGCTGAGTCCTCGCCCTCCTCTTTCCCTGCCAGCCTTGGACCGCCTGCTTCGCCTCACAGCCTATCTGGGGGCGTCGCGACGGTACTGGAATCGGGCTTGGGGAGGGCGCTGTCCTGTCGTCCGTCCAGAACTCCCCCCCTCGACTTCTCCTAGGCATCACCTGCGAACTGGCATCGAGCCGACGCCATTCAGGTGACTCGCCAGAGTGCACTGAGACCGCGTTCCCCCATGTCTTCTGGCCTCTGCTCGCCAATCGCCCAACTATCACACGGCGCTGTCAGATGGTCCATAATGGAGCAGGGGGGGGGAGGGGGGACACTGGGTACGATAGGTCCGGTAGTTAGCTAGCCAATGGTCTCTCTCTCTCTCTGGCACCTCAGCTTCACGTCAACGTCCTCCTCGGCACCGGATGAATTGCGTCATAAACAGGATTCGAATGTGAAGCTGGGTGGTTTGCTTGCATCCAAAGGGGGGGAGGCGGGGGGGGGAGCCAACGTCGACCAAGTTCTTCGCTTGGTCATAGCTGAGCAGTGGAGCCACAATGGGCACGGTGGATGGTGATGATTACATAACCAAGCCACAGACTGCACAGCCGCATGTCTTGGCCAATCGGAGCACAACACACCCGACCCAAACCGACGTCAGTGTCCAATGGCCCCCCTACTCTTCCAGCTTCTGTTAATTTGCCTGAGTGTGAGTGCCTGAAGAATGCCAGGTCAACACTGACTGGTTGCTTGGGAGGCGCAGCGCTGAGTCCGCCACCTAGGCCAATGTGTGACGCTGCTGGAACCGCCAGATGTGCTTTGCCAGCCCCGAAGCGACTTCCTACCACCTCACTCCACCTTGGCTTATCCTGTGCTTTCCCGCGCTCTCCCTCCATCACCAGACCCCGACGCCCATTCCTATACAAAGCCCGCCCCCGCTCACGGTCCACCGGTTTGTAGAACCACAAACAACGCCCTTAGAACAAAGCGAACCGCTTTAGTCGTCCCCTTCCCACCACCCGTTTCTGCCCTCCATCGTCTCAGCCTCACCTTTCTCTTGGGTCACAGTCGCCATGGTCGAAGCAAGCATGACCTTCAAGTCCATGTCCACCTCTGGCACATCGTCGAGCAAGGCGAGCAGCCTCTTCGATCTAGACGAAAATGGTCACAAGTCTATTCTCGTCTACAAGTATCGCTCTGGCGCAAAAGGTCTAGAAGTCAAGACCGAGCGCGAGCTCTGCGAAGAGCTCGACCAAGGTTCGTCGCCCACGCCCACCCCGCGTGCATCCCAACTGACAGGGCCCGACCAGATCCCTCATTACCCTTCATGCGCGTTACCAAGAAGCCCATTCCACGAGGCAACAGTCGCCTAGACATTCTCAGCGGCGATCTCATGCTGCCCGAGGAACGCAAACTGTACGGCGACAGACCCACGCTCAGCGCCTCGGTGGCCAACGTCGGCCTGCCCACGCTGGCCAAGTGGAAACACATGATCTTAGGAAGCTACGATGATCTGTACATTGTATCGAAGTCGCATTCGCCCGCCCCGTCGCCAGAAACCTCGCCCGAGGCGACCAAGGACAGCAGTCCAGAATCGAGCCAGCATGTGAGCCCTGCGACCACCTTTCCATCGAATGTCGCCCACCCAAGGCAAAATCCAGATGCATAAATGCGGCGGCGGATGATCTTCGGTTCACTACTACATCCGGATCGACTTATTATTGGGCCTCATCGGGCTTGTCTCACCCTGTCAAACACAGGGAGACATGAAGCAAGTGTTAACAGGCAGAATGGAGCATGTGCCCTCCTGGACATACTGTCCTCCTGCAGACAGCGCCCTTGGACATGCAGTGTCCCCTTGAATGCATTATCAGGAGACGAATATTGCAGCCTATGTACACAGTGTATACCTTCGTGCTCCTATATTGTAGGATAGAGTATTCCAGACTACAAACAAATTGTAGACCTTGTACATAATGATACAACAAAGGGCAGCGTAGTTGGTATGCATACATGTTGGAGAAAGAAGAGGAAGGAGTGGCTGAAATAGAGCCTGAATTTGCTACCAATATTAGAGACGTTCCTCGAGAAGAGACACTTTACGTTCGAGAACTTTTGGTCCACTCTGTTTAAATTGTCAAAATACGAGTCTAGACCATGATTCATGCGTTCATAGGGAGAAAACAACAAAACAAAAAACTCCAGGCTGCGCCTTCCTTGATGGTAAGGTATCGTGTCGCATCGCAATGGGAAAAGAGAGGTAGACGGGCTGAAAAGGGAAACAGGGACAGCTGTGGCTGGAGTGTGGCAGAATCTTGGATTGATGGTGACCGTCAAGTGCGTGCGACACAAACGGCGTGCATCAAGCCGACACAGGGATGTGAGACAAAGCCCGATGAAGGCCCAATAATAGCCCAATACCAAGTCGATTCAGATATTTATTCGTCTACAAGAAGGCGCTGCCAACACAAAATACAGTGTGGTCCATCAGACGAATTTGAACAGCTTCCCAGCCACACGATCCCATTCCTGATCCCATCTGTATTCACTCTCCACCAGCGCTCCCTGCTTCAACTTGTGCATGAGCGACTGCTCACCCCCAAACAGCTCAATCAACTGCTGCGTCAGCTTCTGCGCACTATCGAAGCCTTTGCCATTGACATTTTCCTTGACGAGCTCGGGCCAGGCTTCAAAGGCGCCCCAGCCGAGGACAGGCAGCCCGGCACCAAACATGTCGACGACTTTCATTGGTAAATCGACGCCCGAGGAGGATGTGTGCAGGGAGATGCCGAGGTGGGCAGAGGCTAGGAGGAGGGCGTAGTCGTCGGGTGTGAGCCATGCTGTGGCGATGACGACGTTGAGGAGCTTCTTTTCTTGGTTGAGCTGTTGGATCTTGGAGAGGTAGTGTTCCTTTTGTGGACCTTTGCCTGTGATGATGGCTAGGATGTTGGGGAGATGTGGTTTGGATGCGGCATGAGCGGAATAGGCACTGAGCGCGTCCAGTAGCAAGGCAAAGTCTTCGTCGGCGGTCCATGATGTTGCGCTGACGATGAGCTTCCAAGGGGTTTTGGCAGATGGTAGGAGGTCCTGGGCGTATTGCGCCGTCTCTGGAAGTCTGGCGAGGAATTCGGCGCGCTTGTCGGAGTTGATGGGTCGGAAGATGGAGGCGGGTCGATCGTGTAGTGCCTCTGCTGTTACACCGTAGTCGTTCACCAGGACACGGGCCATTGCGTTTGTGACGGTGATGTTATGTCTCGCTGATTTTGCAAAGCATTTTTCATAAAGAGCTGAAATCTTGACGAGCGGGTGGCTGCTCCCAAGTTTGAGTGCGAGGATCGAGTAGCCAAAGTTGTGCCAGTCGATGACGAGGTCAGTGTTGCGCAGGAAGCACACGAGGCTGGCCACGGCGAGCGTCGGGATAGAGGGGGGGTTCTGGACCAGTAGCCATCTTGCAGGTTCACATCTGTAGCCGAGAGCTCGATAAAGGGACCAGATTTGCCACAAGACCTTTAGGGGTGCCAGAATGGGGAAGAGTAGTTTGCTTTCTGAGCGGAGGCAGTCAGGTGCTGCCAGGAGGGGGACAATCCGGATAAGTGGGTTTGAGACGATATCAGGATGTATTTCAGACTCTACACAACAGATCAGAGTCGGATCTTGCGATAGCTAAAAGAGGTTGTAGATGTACCTTGATAGCCAATCAGGAACACCCTCCCCCCATGCTTCGCGATGCTCAGGGCATGATACTGCATGCGCGGTGAACGACCAATGTCTCCAAGCACAACGACCTGGACCGTCTTTCCTTGCTTCCATGCTAAATCATCACTCCCATTTCTCCTCTCCGCCTCGGTCTTCTTGCCATCCACGTGGACAAACTTTGGCGGCTTGTCCGTGTAGGGGTCGTACTGGCTTGGCAAGGCCAAGAGCAGAATGGTGAAGAAGGTGGACAGAGCAACGATGACGGTGAGGGCAGTGGTGAAGCCATTTTCATTGATGCTGTCGGGAAACGAGACCCCCCCAAACATGATGCGAAGGTGGAGGTGGTGGTGGTGAACACTGGAACAACAGGCCCTACCTAGTGCGGCTCTTGGGACAGGCGTGGGAAAGGGCAAGGTTGGCTGGCGTGTGGAAAACACGTGGGCGCGTGGTGCGGAGATAGGGAGCGGGGATAATCCGAAAGGGGAAGGCGATTGGCAGTCCCCAGTGGAGACCCCTGAAAGCTGAAAGAAGAAAGACTACGACAGACGGCCGCTTATCGACGACAAGGACCACCAAGGGCGCCGCGTAGCCTCAATGCGTCCCACCCGCGCCCCGCTGACTGCCGTTCCCCTGCCACTGCCGTCATTCTTCTCTTGAAATTGACAGCAGTACAGACTGTCGAGCTTTGATCTCGCTACCGATTCAACCCAAACCGCATCGCCTTGCCAATTGCGGGTCGCCAGTTGAGACAGCCGAGAGAGACAGCCGCTTCACTGTCCTGAAGGCGGCGTTGAGTGTTGGAACAGATCAGATGGCGTCGACATATGCCCTGCCCACTGCCACAACCGCACATTCCCACACGCACAATCATGGCCGCTCACGGTCGCAGTATACACCTGAGCCCTCGCCCTCGCCCTCGCCCTACGTCAATACCAATATCAACGCCAACAGCCCCTTGACTGGCGCATCTGCAGGCAAAGAAAACGACCACGGACACTACCGCTCGGAGATGAAGGGCAGCGGACAATTGCACGGCGCAGTGCGGTCGCCATACGCAGAGTACAACAGCAATGCCCATAATCACAATCACAGTCACAGTCACAGTCACAGCCACGGAAACGGGCACGACAGAGTCTCTTCAAACGACTCCACCGGCACATATACCCTCAGGCCGTTTGCCAATGGCGGGTCAGCAGGCAGACTGAGGGGGGAGTCTGACTTGGGACGAGCGTCGCCGCGAAAGCCTGCCTCCAAGTACGGCTTCTCACCCATACACGAGATGGCGCCGACGTTTCCGCCTGCCCCATTATCTTCGTAAGTCCACCACATTTGCCAGATTGTAACACCCTCTCTGATATGTAGACAGATCATGGCTGGAGCTGCCCGAAGCGCTGACAGCGCTCCTCATACCTCTGCCCTATTTTCTCGCCTCCCTGGCATTCCCACCGGCAGTCCGACGGCTCTCGAAACTGCCTTCTACACTCACAGAAGCGGTGGCGGAAAGGGCGCCAATCGTTGAACCATTGGACACACCAGGCGGCGATCCGTTACTCCACGCCATGATTCTCTCGTCTACAACACTGCTGCTTGTCGGTGTGGTAGCCCAGATCAACTCCAGTTTACAGCCGTTGGACAGGCGGAAAGAGCAAAAAGGCACGTTTGTCATGAAAAATGCGCCCATGAAGATTTTAAGCCACATGTGTGGAATCTTGCTACCTTTTTACGCTTCCCTGCAAATAGGCGGCTCCAAGACTGCTTTGACTCTCTTGGTGGCAGCCGCTGCTGGACTTGGGCCTTTGGGACAGCGCGCAGACCAAGCAGTGTGGGATTCCCTCTTGCAGACACTCAGAACCCGCAGGACAACCCTCGGCGCGTTACTGCTAGGTATCACAGCCGATGTAATGTCTTCTGCTGACATCAGGAGCACTGCGCTGGGCCAAGGAGCGCTTATGTTTTCAGTCCTGCTTGCTCCTCTTCCTTTGCCATATGTTGGACACTCTACGTCGATGAACGCCGATGAAGATTCGTACATGCGTCCGGCCTCAAGTCAGGGGCCGTCTCACAAGCCAGTCTCACCGCTGGTCAACTCATTCGGAAGTACATTACTGACCATTGTATCCGGTCTCATTTTGGCCGTTGTATCCATCTTGTACCATCTTGCAACTTTGTCGTTTTCCACAATCTCGCTGCACATAGTTGGGCTTTCTCTTTCATGCATAGCATCGGCGTCGGCCCTGCTGTTTTTCTCATCCCCATCAACCTTGCGATCCCAGAGACACAATGGGCTGAAGTTGGGGGCTCTTTTTATTGCTGGTTTTGGTTTCTGGGAGTACTACCAGTCCAGTCTTGTTTATCTCGTCTTTTTAGGGGCCTGTGCGATATTGGTCGGAGCCACGATTTTCGATGCACGGTCATCTGCAACGTCTGCGCATTCTCATGGCCATTCTCATACTGGTCATAAGCATGCACACAACCACGGCCACGGACATGACCATGATCACCATCTCCATGGAAATCATTCGCGACTATCGGCTTTCCTCATTTCTTGTGCGACGCCGGGATCAATCATACACAATGTTTTGATTGAGAGGGATTCGCGACGTATAGCATATTTTGGCGTGTAAGTCTTGTGTTACAACAACTTGTTCCTCTGCTCATGCTAAGACTTTACAGGCTCAACCTCAGTTTCATGCTGGTCCAATTCTTCTATGGCTTCGCCACCGGCTCCTTGGGTTTGCTAACGGACAGTATCCATATGCTGTTTGATTGTGCTGGTCTCGCTGTTGGCCTGGCAGCTGCAGTCATGAGCAAATGGCGCCCAAATGCTCGCTTCCCGTACGGATACGGTAAGATTGACACGCTGGCTGGGTTCGCCAATGGTGTGTTCTTATTGTATGTGTTTGCGAAGTCCCCCTTGCAATCTCCCTCCTAACATCCACCAGACTTGTAAGCGTAGAAATCATCTTTGACGCCTTTGAACGCCTATGGGAAGGCCACGAACTTCAACGTCTCAACGAACTCCTCGTCGTTAGTATCCTAGGCTTCCTCGTTAACATTGTCGGCCTCACTGCATTCGGGCACGCGCACCACGGACACG